AAAATCTCTCAATTTTTTAAACTAGCTACAAGCAGTTGCAGGCAATATTCCAGCCACGTCTAATCGTGTTTTAACACTTAATAACAGATTTTCCTCCGCTAATCCCCTGCAGCAGCAAGCTGCACCAGCGGGATGTACATCACCCCCGAAACCAGCCTGGGGCACGGCCACGGGCAGAGGAACTGCTGCCAAATCCCTCCCCAGCAGCACCACAACTACAGATTTTGGTGCTTTTTCAGGATCAGTCCCCTGCCCCAAGACAGCTTGGTTGTGACAGGAAAACAAAACCAAAAGAAAGATGCTTGGGAAAACAAACAAACATTTTACATTCTAAAGACAAGAAGAGGGCACAGAAAACTCTATCTCTTGAGTCTAGAGCCCTTCCCAAAGTGTCTCTCACATTCAAAATTTATAGACTTGTCTGTTCTCCTTTTTTTTATCTAGATCTTTGTTTGTAGAACAAATTCTCTCAGTGGCCATTTCAAAACAAAGGAACCTTTGTCTATGTTTACTTGACAGGATTAGGATAAAATAAATTGCATTTCAGAAGGTTATTTTTATTTATTGTGAAGCCTCTGCTGCACGAAATCACCGACCCATCTGAGGAATGATTTCTGGCACACACTGAGGAACTTGGCTTTTGGAGACAGCCTCTGAGAAAGGGATTCATATATAAAAATAAAATTAAAAATGCGATTAACTTTTGGACTGTGACATTATCCATTTCTCCTTTCCATGCTCCTGCCTCACATCTATCTTCATTTCGGTTTTAATCAGCTGCTCACACAGTTCAGAAGCCAAGAAAGCTCTGGACAAGTCTGAGGTATTTTCATAAGCTTCCCCTTGGATTGCAATATCTGAGGTTCAGTGCTGGGCTGGTCAGGACACTCAGGGAGAAATAGGAACAGTCCCAGTATAGGCCAGACCATGACCTGTGGGTTTTACCACTTATTTCTCTGATGCAAATGCTTTTTAAGTGCTCGAGTGCTGGACTTGACACCTTGGCTCTTTGCAGCCACCCCAACACCACAGGCATTTCAGTGCATGGGCAGCTTGAATTGCAGAGCATCGCTGCTGAGCCGGGCAAGACATGTGGAAATAAGGACCAGAGCAAACAGCCACAAATCTGGTCTGTTCAACCAAGGGACAAGTGACAGGACAAGAGGAAATGACCTCAAGTTGTGCCAAGGGCAGTTGAGATGGGATGTGAGGAAGAATTTCTTTGCTGAAAGGGTTCTGAGGCATTGGAAGGGGTTGCCCAGGGCAGTGGTGGAGTCTCCATCCCTGGAGGGATTGAAGAGTCGTGTAGACACAGTGCTGAGGGACATGGGTTAGTCGGGGACTTGTCAGTGTGAGGTTAATGGTTGAACTCGATGCTCTTAAAGGTCTTTTCCAATCTGGGCAATTCTGTGATCCTGTGAAAAGCCAGGATCATCTCCAGGAAGGACAGCAGGAGCAGACACTCACTAGCCACAAACGTATCCGACTAAATACAGCGGCTGTGCTGGTAAAGCAGCCCACACCCAGAGCACGCGGGGAGGGGATGCTGCCAGCTTGCAATACCAAATCCATCAATTAATGAATAATGTTCAAAAGGGCTCGTGAAACCCAGCGCTTCAATTAGCCCATGTTGAAAGGAGAGCAGCACAAGAACCAGGCTCCTTCCCCAGGTGGGACCACCAGTGCACTCCAAGAAGGTTGCACACTAGGAACCCAGTGCCAGGAGATAGTCAAGCCTGGGCTTCACCACACAGCAGCCCAATGACTCCTCTGAGGCCAAGGGCCCTGAACCCATCCAGGATGTTTCTGCTGGCCCAGTTCCCACCACCACTCACACCAAGAGCTAATCAGCCCAGCAAAATTAACCTGCTCCTTTGAGCCCATCTTCAGCGTTGTGCACTTAACAGCAACGAAGACAACCGGACATATTTCTTGGGTTTCCTTGGGATTCATAATGTGTGTTAATTACATGCCAGTTTGTTACTCAAACACACCTATTGAGACTTTGCAGCTGTAATAAAAAGCATATGCATTTCTGTTCCCATCAACCTGCACTGACTTTGACATGTATTTGGTGCTCCTCCACATGAGCTCAACATCACCCCAACCAGCAGGGACCTCTGGAGACCCTTTCCCAACCTCCTGCTCCATGCAGAGCAGATCTGGGATCTAATCGAGCTGCCCACAGCCTCCCATCAGCCAGATGTGTTTTGAAAGTCTCCAGGGATGGAGTTACCCCATCTCACCAGTTTCCCAGGGGCTTTGACTCCCCATTTCCCAGTGGCACTGGTGAGGTTGCCCAGTATGCATCATCCTTCCTGCCTTTTTGGAAGATGGCTGCAACAGTTGGTTTTTCCAGCCATCAGAGCTTCCCCCAACTGCCACAACCTTCAAAGGTGACAGAGAGGGCTCTGCAGTGACATTGGCTGGCTCCTGTCCAGCCCCAGCCTTGCCATGCCCCAAAGTCTTGATCCCACTCTGCTTTTGGGTTTTCTCACCCTGTGCAGCCGTGGGCAGGGATTGTAGGACGGCCAGTCCTTACATACTGGTATCACAGGAAAGGTTGAATCCCAACAGCCTGAATCTGGTGTTAAAGACCTAGAAAAAGCCTCTCAGGTTGTGCCTGCCAAGTCCTGGGGACAAAGGGTATAACCCTCTTCCAAAACAGCATCCTTCCTCCAGAAACAGCAGAAAGGACACTTAGCGCTTCAGAACAGTGTGTGAGATCATGAACAAAACAAATGTTCCCCAACAAGAAACACAACAGCCAAATCTGCAGCAATTCACCTGGAAGCAATACCTTGCATGGCGAATCCATCCAATAAAGGAAAAAAAACCAAAACAGTTTTACATTGAATGTCTGAGCTTTCTATCGAAGCAGGACTTGCCTTAGCTGCTTACAGACCTAAGGAGCCAGAAGCTTGAGAGATTAGAGGAACCAGGGCATGAATCTTTTTTCCTCTTTAAATGAGACGTGACCAGCCATCACCAGAACCAACATCCAGACCCTTAGACCAAAGCAGCGGACGTCGGTCCCGACTGGCAAGGCAGCACATCTCCTAGCAGAGCTGAGGGGGCCCACCATGACCAGGAGCTCAGATGCAGGAAGGTGAATGCATTTACACACCTTGATTTAATCACCTAAAGCAGTAAGCGTGGAGGACTCAGAGGTGAGAGCCTGAAAAAGGAGGTTTCTTCTGATCCAGCTCTAGGACTGAGCTGACATTGTGCCCGGAAACAAGAGACATACAAGGATGGGAATCAGTAGACTCATAGATTTGGGTTAAATTGATGACAAGAATAAGGTTGGAAGAAGCTATTCTACTCCAAGGCATCCAGAAAGGGGATAAAGAGGCTGAATAAGTACCTTTTTGCCATCATTTCACCACAATTTTCGAGAGTCCTCTGGGGTGGGACCGGGGGCTTCTGCAGGTTTCTGGAAACCTTTGCTGCTGTTTGCAGCGTGACTCATGTCACCTCACAGCTCGAGCTGGTCCCACAGGTCAACAGATCCTCATTGTCTTTCTTCTCATTCTCGGCTAGCTCCCTGGGGATGCTGGGGCTCTCCTGGGACAGAGGGCACCCGTATCAAGTGACACCTTTTATTCCCAACTCAGACATCTTTTCAGGACCCATCTCCTCAAAAGCCAAGTTTGGAGAAGGTGATGGTCCAGGGGCTTCTGCCCACCTCCCTCGCATGCTGCTTCTCATCCCAAGCAGGAAGAAATCCCCTATAACCAGGTTTCACTCACCAGCTGTCCTGGGAGCTTGGCATAGGGACACACTCCACCCAGGGGCGGGGACCCTGACCATGGTAAAACACACAGAAAATATCAAAAGGCACCAGTCCTGCAACCTGCTGCGGCTGGGGTCAGCTCTGCACTGGTTCCTTGGAGAAGTGTCTTAATGGAGTTGGTGATGGGACCAATTAGGGGAACATGGGAGGAGAAACCCAAGCTGCTGTGAGCTCCATCCACAGGGGAGAAAGCAAAGGCAGCTGCTGCAGGCTGTGCATGAATCTCTCTGAAAGTCAACTAAGCAGTTCACAAGCACTCTCTGATTTCAGGAAACACCACTTTAGTCCTCCCCTTCTGTAGGAAAGCAACTAGCATTTCTTCTGGCACCTCAAGGAAAGGATTTAATGCCCAAACATTACATTCCAGGCGAGGCTGGGGAGCTCATATCCCTCCAGGGCTTTGGTATGGAGGAGAAAACCACACTGGCCTGACCAAGCCTGACTCGCTCACTGGAGTTCAAGCCGGGCATTGCCCTCTGTGCAATTCAGTCGTGCTCTGCCAGGCTGGGACTGCAGAGGAAAAGTCAGGGCAAAGCTCAGTTCAGCTCAGCAGTGTACTCCCAGAGCAAGGGCAGGACATGACCCTCCCACCATGGAAGCTGTTTTCTGAGCTGACTACACATCTCACGAAAAAAGGTGTTTTAAAAAACATGTAACAGAAAGCACACTTGCTAAAAAAAATCAGAATATTTCTCTTCTCCATTTCAGTACCTCCATGAAATCACAAAGGCCTTTTATTTTCCCATCCCTAAGGAACAATTTCCACTTCTGCAGACCAAATCTGCCCAAAACCACAGAGCCCTCCAAGCACCCAAGTCAAATCCTCAGCACATCAGAGCAGGTGCAACCGTCCCACCACCAGCAGCTGAAGGTCTAATCCCATCAGCCCCAGTCACTGGGTGTTCTCCCATCCCTCTGCTGCGAGCCAGGGTCAGCACCCACCCTGTGCCCACACACCTCTGGGTGTGAACACAGCCAGGTTTTAGCCACACAGCTGCAAAGTGCCCTGTGCCACAGCAAGAAGGGCCAACAGGACCATGAGCCATCATGATGTCCCTGAAAGGGGTCAGGAGGGAGCCTTGGGAATGGAGGCACATGAGCACCATCCTCCCTGCATCCCTGGCGCTCATCAGCTCAGCTGGACCATGTGCATGGGTGTCACTGGGCATCACGCAGGACAGGACGGGCACGGAGCTGCGCTCACCTTCGGTCCGGATGGTAAAGGGCGAGTCCCCCAGGCGCTTGGCTGAGAACTGTCCTCCCAGCGACGTCATGAGGAAGCACAGGGTGAAAAATCCAATACCCAGCACAAATATCCTGCAGGAGGGAAAGCAAAGCTGTGGTGAGGTGTGAGGAGGAAACGGCTCGCCTCTCAGGACAGCCCCATCGCCCTTCGTCCCCTTGGCTCAGCAGTATGAGACACATCTTTTTTGAGACATCTGGCAGCCAGGACAATCCCTGCCTCCTTCCCAACTGCCCCATCCTCATAGCTCAACCTCTCCAGCCCAGGGAAGGGGTATCCCTGCTGCCCCAGCCCCATGAGAGCACACCAGTACCTCACCCCAACCACATCCAGACCTCCCACACACACTTCATGAAGAGCCCCAAGATGATTCTGCCCAAAACCTGGCACTAACACCCTCCCAAGTCCCCACAGCCTGCTCCTAGGGGCTCGCCTCGAGAGGGAGCAAAGGACTTGCACTGTAGGTGGGAAACCTGAGCCAGACCACGACTGCCCTTGTGATGTTCTACTAGACCCAAGAGCCCCTGCAGACCACAGGAACCACTACAATAAACAATTCCCATCTTCCTCCAGGGAGAGTCCGGAGAAAAGAGACCTTGTACCTTCCCTTCCTCCCAAAGGATCTAAAAAAAATATCCTTTTTTTTTTTTTTTTAAATGACCATTATTTAAAAAAAAAAAAAAAAAAAAAGTCTTTTGTTCCCCTGTAACTGGGCCACCAGTATCTGCCATTGTGTCTGACACCACCTGCATGGACAGCCCTGTGCACAGCAGGACAAGGAGGGACCCATGCTGGCGGCTCATGTGGTGGCCTGGGACCATCCCATCACCACTTTGTTCATCCAGACCATAGGAGGGGTTGGCAGGAAAGCAGCTCCCATAGGGACGTGCTGGGCAGATGCCAACCTGCACATCACTCCCAGCTGAGCTCATGGTCACCGCTGGCTGAGAGAGAGGACGGAGCTCTCAGTGCTGCTCCTATTCAGGCCAAATCCATGAGCCAGTAACTTTTTGGGGGGTGAAAAGGCTGAAGGCAGGAGCTCTGTGTCAGCAGGAGGGTTTGTGTGCCAGGGACGCCAAGCCTTCCCATCTCCCTGGCACGCAAGCAGAGCACGCTGTGCCGAGTGACAGACACCTGGCCTCCTTACGTGGCTCAGAGTTGCTGCTGCTGCCTCCAAATCTCTGTGGAGATGCAGCACCTTGTCCACCACACACCCTGGCAAAGCCCCAGCAGAGCCACAGGCAACAGCTCCCAGGGCCGTGGCCATACCGAGGATCTCTGCTGGCCAAACCCAAGGGAAACTTGAAGGAGAGGAAGGAAAAAAGACAACTGCTTTGTGAAACACCAGGTTTGTCTTCAAACAGGTGAATCCTACGTGGGACAGGGAGAGGAGCAACCCCTGAGGGGTGCCCACTGGCATTTCTGCCTCTCAGCAGCCCCGAGCCAAAGGGAAGCAAACCACCGAGGACAAGAACCCATAACTCTCCTTTAGAAGTTCACAGCATTACCTGCAGGGCTCAGGAGCCACACACAGAAACAGTACAGCCACCCAACACCAAAACTAGGCTTTTCTAGAGAAGGAACACCACAGCCCTCCACCTAACTGTTACTGTGTAGGAGCCAGCCATCAACTCTGGGCTACAACACACTGGCATTGCAATTATCTGTTGCTGGAAAGCACTGGCAAATGAAGTCACTTGCTTCAAAATACTCATTAGCTACAGGAGATGCTGTGGAGAGCTGAATTACAGTGTCAAGCAGCTCAAGAAGGACTGGGCTTCCCCAGGGAGACCAGGGCAGGTCCCTACTGTCCCAGCAGAGCATGTCCAGGCTTGCCCTGCCCAGAAAAGCTCCTGGGCAAGACACAGCACCTTCACAGGACCCCACAAGCTCCCCACCTCCATCCCATCAGCTCCGATGATGCTCTCACCCAGCCATGGCACACCTGAGCCCCAGACCCAGGGCAGCTTTGTGCTCAGCATCAGGCAGCTCAAGAGCAAAGGGTTTCCTTTGCCTGATATGAGGAGGATCTGCCCACTGCAGACAGGCATCTAACCCCATCCAGCCCTCTGCTCCATCCTCAACCACATCCTGCAGCAGATCAAGGTCACCTGGCCAAGGGCTCTGGACAAGCAGCACCTGCAACTCCCGATCTCCTTCTCACCTCCTGCCTAATCAAGAGAAAAAGCAGCACCCTGGGCTCGTTAGCATTAATGAGCTCTGAGAGCAGCACACTCAACCCAGTGCAAACACTCACTAAGCCTTTTGGAGACTCGCAGCCAGGCAACAGGAGAGGTGACCCACCTGGGAGAGAGGACACCCAAGTGTATTGGTAAAACTACCTGCTATCCCTGTGCAGGCACTCCAGCAGAAAAGCAGCTCAAGACCCTTTTATTTCCACAGGAGCCTGCCCTGGGGGGTGGGAAGCAGTTTAAACAAGCTATTAAATCATCGTGCACTCAGCTAACCCAGACTCCCATCCCCAAAGACCTGTCTATAGGCAGAGCACAGCCATCCCCTCCCCAGCAGATGCTGATGAACCATCCAGCTGTGGCATTTGCACGAGGAGATGACTACGGATCTCAGCCCATCTCTCAAAGCAGACCTTGGAGAAGGGTTTCCAGAAAGCTGTGGTCCAGCTCCAGCAGGGAGGTGACTGCAGAGGCAGCAGAGCATCCGTGATGCTACCAAGCAATATGGTGTCCCATAAATTGCTTGGGAAAGGGGTGATTTGAGGACATGAGTCCATTCCCATTATCACACCCTGTGCCCAGCCATGCAGCGCAGCACTGGGTCTGGGAGAGGCTCTCGGGAACACGATGGTGCCCAGCCATGCAGCGCAGCACTGGGTCTGGAAGAGGCTCTCGGGAACACGAGGGAGGGGACTGTAGCACCCAGCTTGGCCAGCCCAGCCATGCAGCGCAGCACTGGGTCTGGAAGAGGCTCTCGGGAACACGAGGGAGGGGACTGTAGCACCCAGCTTGGCCACGGAGGGCTGAATTTGTCCTTAGAGCAGGAGATGGGGATGCTGTCTGCCGTGGCACCTCCCTGGCAGGAGAGGACAGCAGCACAGTGGAGAAGGCACAAGCTGGAGAAGGCCAAAGCCCAGCTGTGCCCCATGACCAAGCATCCTCCCTATGAGCACATCATGGTACAAAACCCACCCAAAGGCCCCATCCTCCTGCCCCAAGGGGCCTTCTAACGAAGCATCACCTGATGAAATAATCAGATCTGATCCTGATCTTCGTTCTCACCCCTCCTATTGACATCTTCACCGTTATGCAAGACCTTGTTTATGCATTTTAATCTTTGTAATTATACTCTGGCACAGAGTGATGGTTAAACACCGGGGGGAGAGGGAAGAAGGGGAGAGGGAAGAAGGGGAGAGGGAAGAAGGGGAGAGGGAAGAAGGGGAGAGGGAAGAAGGGGAGAGGGAAGAAGGGGAGAGGGAAGAAGGGGATCTATGCTTTAGCATCTCATTAGGAGACAAAATCTTTTTCATTTTAACTGGATTACAGAGAGAGTAGGGAAGATGCAGGATGCTTTTTCCCCAAAAAACCAAAGGATCAAAGCCTGACTGGAATTGATGTGCTCAGGAGGGAAGCGGATCTAGGCAGCAGCAGTGCTCCAGGGAGCAGGGAGGTTGCAGGGATGGGCTCTCAGCCTGAGGATCCCATCTCTAACTTTGTGCTGATCTTCTCCAGGTGAAGAAAAATGTTTGGCCCAGCCTTAACTGAGCAGAAACTCCTTAGGCAGAAAATAAATACCATGAAATAGGTAAAACATACCAGACCCCAGACCTTCCAAATTGCCTATCAAATGCACTGGGTCCTCTGCCCCCAAAATCAGGCCCCACTCACTGAAGACCATCGAGCTCCAATGACCAAATGACATCTACTCTGCATGCTGGCTTTGCCTGTCTTCCCAAGTCATGTTTAACTCATCACCTGGGCATGGTTCTGGTGCCAAGTCCCTCTCCACATCCTCCCCAAACTGAAATGTTCATAGTTCTGGGTCCTGCCTTGGTGCCCCAAAGAGAAGGAAGCAAAATTCTCTGAGTCTTTAGTGAAAATTGGGATTCATTCCCCAGTCACTGCAGATTTTAGCCAATGGAATTGAACGCTGGATGTGTCCAGGAGGGTCTGAGCGATGGGTTGGGAGGTGATGGGGGGAGGAAAGCCAGCAGCACCCAGCGGGACGGGGCTGTGACACTGAGACTGTCTGTCCACATTGCTGCATCACCCAGCTGGGACCCCTAGGGAGGATATTATGGAGGTGCACAGGGAAACCAAGGGCTACAGAGCCAGGTAACATCTTTTATTAGACCAGTTTTCAACACCCAAGTCTCTTGAGCCCAAAAGCTGAGCCACAATTTCTACCAGCAGCTGCAGTCAGCCTCAGAAAAGATGCTCCCTCTCCCGCAAACCTTGTTTTGCTCAGAGCCCAACACTGTCACAGTGCTGTCAAAATGATGCTCAGCCACAAGGGTCCACAGGGAATTCTCCTACTGACCAACCTTACAGACACATGGAAAGCCTGGCTTTGGTTTCCAGCTGACAAACTTGCCTGAACTCCCCATGTTCTGCAAAATGAAAAGCTGGGTGAGCTGGACCACGGTGATTTCTTGCCTGAATCCAGCAGTCACAAATGAAACACTCTCTGCTGCTGCGATGAAGTCAGAGCCATCCTTGGACATTTCTACACCGATTTGCTCTCTTTCCCCTTCCCACTGGCTGTCACAGCTCAGGGCTTTGCATTACTTTGCTAAGCGTGTCTGGAGGGTGATGAAGGAGATGTTTTGGTGCAAAGGGTCAGGTTTCCTGTGTGCTGATGGCACCACTGCCAGGAGGCTACACCAGGCAGGGGATCTCACCATGGGCTTCCCTAGAGGATCAAGGCTTTGCCCAGCCAGCAACGAGCCCCCAATTTACAGGACCCATCCTGACTGCCAGCGTGTTCTCCCGCTCCTGCACGTCATCCCTGATTCACATCAGCTGAGAATGTGGGGCGTGGATTTTAGGGGAGCAGTGCTGATTTGCACCAGGTTATGGCTGGAGCTGGGCAGTGCCAACTC